TAAGTAAGTTAGTACGTGTGTGTGTGTGTGTGTGTGTGTGTGTGTGTGTGTGTGTGTGTGTGTGTGTGTGTGTGTGTGTGTGTGTGTGTGTGTGTGTCAATAAACTGTGTTTTTCCAGCAGCAATCAGATATTTCCATGGTGATGCTGGCGGTCTCTTTTCTATCAGGATTTTTCCTATGGGATTGTTTTGTATTGCTTTTGAGAGAGGATGCAAAACACACTCTGAACATTTTGCATCTCATGTGTTTGTATGTACTTAAAACCACATCTATTTCTCTTTTATTTTTTATTTTATAGCTAAGTTCAAAGACATCTGTCCCGGTGGGATGGGCTACACTGTTCTACCCAATCCGCCTGTCAATAAGCCAATCACCATCAACCAGGAGCCCATTGAGATTCCTCCTCAGCCCCTGCCCACCCAAGAGAGACCAGTGGAGGCCTTTGGGAAGCCAGAAGAGTTTATACCAGGTGAGTCTCTACCATGGAACTTTACTGGTGCATTTCAGTTAGTTTAGTATAATGGTATATTCACAAATCCATGTAATAAAGCAGTGGAAGTAAATTACTATAGATGGTAGTTCTGGAGGGGGGGTATGTGTAGCGCAAGCTAGATGCTTGTGTGTTTGTTGTTAAGCGTTAAGTGTTAAATACAGTTTAACAAGATAGGAATGATGGCAGACCCATATTTTCTCAGTCAGGGATGCAATAGCACCTGAGTGAGGCAAAGAGCGCACACATCTTTTCATAAAGACATTTCTTCCAGCTTCTCCTGGATATCCCTTCTACATGTAATTCCTGGGAAATGCGATCCCTTCAGTGCACATCAAGAACTCTCACACCAGTGTGTCACGCCCAAAACATCGAGGAGGCCGACCATTTGACAAACCCCATTTTTTGGTTAACCTATTCTACACGGCCCCCCGATACCGGGGGGAAAAAAGCGTCATCTGCAGGAAACAGCGTCTGAGGGCATCTTAATATATAATAAACTATGAATGTTTTATATCCTTGTAACGGGAAGAAACTCAGCTAACTGATCTTTTTTTTTTTTTTTTTTTTAAACCCACAAAGCTAACGCTCTGCCTCTGAATTAGCCACGAGCGGGAAAATGCTAACGCATTACTGCACAGAAACTCACTCATAACACCCTTATTACTTATCGTAGCTGCACGTCCAACTGATCGATTAGCATCGTGAGAAGACACAGAATCGATCGGTACCTACATTATCACTCCATGATAAGAACTTGCGAAGATATTAACAAGAACAGACATCAAAACTTGTGGCGCTAGGTAGCTAAAAACGACAAAATGTGTCGTAGTCTGGTCAAAAGTGGTCTTAAATGGCATTAAAACGATGAAAAAGGCTGCTGAAGTTAATCCAGAGGTTAACCCAATGTGTCTGTGTCCCTTTGAAATGATTTCTAATAATCCATAAGCAATAAACCTGCTTTTCCGTTTCCAGATGTCAGAGCGAGAGATAGGTTCGCTCTCATGCAAAACTGCGTGCGCATAGCTCTCATTTCTCAATGGTAAGGTGTGTGTGTATGGGGAAATTCCCCTTCGATTATATTGGCTCTAAGGGTCAAAAAGAGATGTCAATCACCAAAATCGACCAATGGGTTCCAGAGAAACGGTAAAAACGGCCATTTCCATCTTGATACAGGGTACTTATTATGTTGTACTTTGGATTCCTAAAGCGTTTAGTCTACCTTACCATCATCCAAGGGTAGTTTTCACTATAAGTAAAGAAGAATTTTTGGACAGACACTATAATTTACAGTTTATCACTGTGTTCAATCTGAATTTTCTTTAAAATAAAAAACATATTGATTCTGAATTTTCTACATCCAACTCACAGGTTTATCATTACTTTGAGGAAAAAGATGATTAATTTCCCCCTTTTAGAAGTGTAGTTATGGTCATTTGTTCTGGAAATGTCATTTTCGAGCCTGAGACCTGAAAAACAGGCTCAGGGCTTAACAGGTTAATGTCAATTATGCCAATTATTTCTAATATGAATAAAGAGCTTGCATCACAACAGCTTACGCTTATAACTTGCCATCAATCTCACAATCCTTTTTTTATCATCGCTCATGAATAAGATCTATAAATACCTGAACTGCTTAATGTCGCAAATGTTCTTTTAGGGCATTGTAATAATGAGGGCACCACACTGCAAAAGGGTTTTTTCCACAATTAGAAGTTGCCAGTATTAAACTGTCTACACCCCTGGATGTTTAGGGGGTAAGAAACACATTGGTGTTATCAAATGTAAAACATATAATTAATAAATGGGTGAAAATTGCTTGTGTCCATAATTGGCAGCATTAATACCCACATGACAGCTCATTGTTACTTAATTCTACTCCACTACCATTCAGATGTTAACCTGGTATTTTTACTCCACTACATTTATTTTAGTTACTTTGCAAATTCTGGTTAATGATGTGAAATATAAACAACCCTTAAATCAGACTTTAGTTACACCTGAGTAAAATTCTACGAAAGTGCCAACAATCAGGAGAGATATTTGATAGTTGGTGCTTGAGAAGACTAAACATTTATCTGCAGATCCCTATAAAGTATATTCATTACTCGTTATTCTCTACTAATAGTTAATTGAAGATTGTATAATGGCTATTTTGCACATCCCTTTCAAGATTTCAAGATTTTCAAAGGTTTATTGACATATTATATACGCAACTATGGTGTAGTTATGCAATGAATGAAAAACTTGGGTCGCAGGTTCCTTATCAGTGCATTAAAAGACATCTATCTCCACCATTAAACTGTCATATTGTGCATATTTCTTATACTATATACTATAAGAGTATAATTAATGTGTATAATATCAGTTAAAATAAGTGCTACAACATAGTTAACATTGCAGGAAAGCAATATATTAGTACTTTGTCAGGCTTAATATTTATCTGTAGATACCCCCAATGCTTTTTTCTTATTTGAAAGAAGACCTTAACCTAAAGTATTCTTTAATGTTTAAATAAAGCCTTATTAGCTTGTCTGTTTTGCACATCCTCTTATTAATATCTTTGTACATCCTGCGCTAAACTGTTTTACAGTAGAGATCACTTACAGTATCTTCTTGACTTTTTTATATTCTATATTTCTATCATTGACCTTCTACTTTCCCCCTATTTTGTAAGTACTCTTAATATTTTTTTCATCAAATATAACATATTCAACAACAACATTCAATAACGTGCTTTAACCACTAGGGGGTGCGGGTTACAAAACGGTCAAGTTTAAAGTGTTAACACAACAAATTATACTTTGTATTATTAGTGTAGGACACTTATGTATGTATAACATCTGAAGATGTGTAGTTTTATTCATGTTTTCTCATAATTGTACAGGATATTGCAATATCATTTGACATGTTTTACTTCTACACATTAATATCTGATTTGTAAAACATCACAAACAGAAAGGTATATCCGTCATTTAAAGAGCCTGTGACACGAGTTTCCCCCATCATCCAAACCCATCAATTTGAGTAAATATTGTCCCCTTGAAAACCGTTACTGAACTGATTTTGGATATTTGTACTTTGATAACTATTAATCTGCCCTTCAATGTTGACCATATTCTGGATTTTCTCGGGATTCTTCAAATCCCGCCAAATTATGTGTGATGTCATTGCGGGCCAAGCGCTCCAGCTGCACCGTTCAGGATCCCAGCATCTGCATGTAAACGCACGATGGCGGAAACAGCAGCAAGCTCAGACAGCGATGACAGTTTAATTTTGAACGTGTCTGAGAGCTCATATGAGACTGAAGGATCGGTTTATGTTGTATCTGTTAGAAGTTTAGGAATTAGGTGCGTCAATATGGGCGATAATACGGTCATGTAGCCAGTGGTGGACTGGGACTAAAAATCAGCCCGGGACTCTCGACCGGCCCACTTCGGTAACGCTAGTAAATTGTCAACGGGGGGAGTGGGGGATGTGCTAGTGACTTATCCGACCGGCCCACTTCGGTACCGGCCCATCGGGATTTGTCCCGATGGCCAGTCTGCCACTGCACCCAGCCCAGCCCAAGTAAACTGTCAACGGGGGGAGCCTCGCTGCGGGGAAACGGTGGACCTAGTGTCCCGATCGGAGTCGGAATAATAATAATAATACTAATCATAATCCGTGCATTTTATCCATTAATTTCCCCAACATTGTGGTAAAAAAACCACACGTTTAATCCATGTTGGTGTACAACAACTACAAAAAGCATCGGTTTGTTTTTTCATCAGGAAATGCAGACCGGCTCAAACAAACGATTTTTAAATCATCATCCTCACGATCATTTAATATATCATTTGCCGAATTGACATGAAAGCACTAATAAATATAGTTTCATCCAATTGAGTTTACAACTACAAAAATAATCGATTTGTTTTTATATCACATCCGACGGGAGGAAATTCAGCAGCTCTCACTACCGATTTTTAATCCTAATTTAATCATCATCTTCACCACGATCGTTTATGTTTATGTTCGCCGAATTGACATGAAAGCACTGACAAATATGAATATACTCTAGTCAACTTCATTAAAACGTTATTAACGTGCCTAAACTCAGTAATTCGCCATTTGTACGCATGACAACATACTTTGTCCGTGTTTGACTCTCTCGCCGCACAGTGAAGCATTCCCGCATTGACGTCACTCCCGGCTTCCGCCAAAACTTCAAAATGAGTCGAAGGAATTTCCCCGCGATGTTCGAAATGATTGATATTTATCGGAACGGTATCGCACCTTCTTTTTTAAACTGACGGTTCGAGATTACTAGTAGCCCAATATTTCATTGCACAACAGTTGTTGGGAGGCTGTCCCATGCTCTTTAAGGGTAAGCTATTGACATTCTGATTCCATAGATGTGTCTCCCATCACCCAAAACCCTTGACTATTCTCTCAACTCAGTATTTACATTCTTTAATTCAAAGAAAATCAGTAATATCTTTAAAAACTACAAGTCCTTTTCTATAAGCTGTGTACCGTTATGGTGTAAATATAATAATATATATAATAATTTACCAATTGGAACAAATATAAAAGTCAGCCGAATTACTGTTGATACTGCAAGGAGACGTATTGTGTGAAGAGAAATTGAAGATGTTGTTTAATTGCTGATATATTTATGATCCATGTCACGTATTCAGCTTCCGTGGCAGTTCCTCATGTTTGTCTATAGTCTTCTAATCAGGGCTCTATAAATAAAGAACTACGGCAGATGTGTAATATTTAATGCAGCCGAATCGTGTATTGCAATGCCGTTATGTGATGACTTTCAAAGAGAAAAGCAAGCACACTCGGATTAAAGTATTATTTTCTTCTTTTCAATTTTTTCTTTTTTCGGATTTCATATCGCATAAACACCATATCCCAATGTGCATTGCGGTTAAAACATCCAATCACCGAGCTTCAACCATAGCTGAGGATCTTGGGTGATCAGTTCAGTGGGTGTGTATCGCCTACGTCTGTTTCCGGTGACTTTATTTTGAAATTCAACGGACGGCAAAAAAGCCCGATATCATAGAATTAAACAAATAAATAAAAACAAGGATAATTGTGTGTTATTGTTGAGTAAATAACAGTGTTATTTAGAAAAGAATAACAAATTAGAAGGAAAAAATATTGAATAAATACAGCTGTCAGTATTCTGAGCCCCATTTCTTTTCCTCACGGACGGCAAAAAAAGTCAGACATTATACAATTTAAAATAAAAACAATAATGGTGGGTTGATATTGAGTAAGAAAAAGTTTTTATGAACCACACAGCTTCAGGTCTTCCAAGACCCGAACGGACAAAAAGACGTGGTGCACGCACAAAACACTCTACCAATAGAAATACATTGCTTTTAAAGTCGTTCTGTGTGACAAGAAAAAGGGGGGAAATCGTGATGGTGAACACGAATAAATAGATTAAATGTTGTGACTATAACACGAAATGCCGTGAGACTGGGTTGAAAATCTACTTGATATGCATGTATGTGCCATATACCCACTAAGAAAGGTTTTCTGTGTTGATGGTAGGGTGAGTCTGTTCTTTCCCCTACCATCATTGACATACAGTGTATGCAGTGGAGAAAAAGATAGATACAACCCACCTACCCAAGATAGCGTCACACAGTATATTATGTTACAAACTTAGATTAAAATGTTTTGTTTTTCTTTTCCGTGGTCAGTAGCAACAACTGCACCAGAGCAGGTAGGTTTGGAGCTTTAAGAAAGTAGAGGCAGTTTGCATGCTCACAGACAATCACAGCTGCTAAGGAGCTGCATAATTAATTCTGCATGAAGTCAGCAACGTTGCTGCATGACTCTGAGCTGGTCATCACTTGGCAATGTGTAAACCTTCGATGTGTTTATGTTAACGTTAGAACAGAAAACAGATAGAGAATTAAATCCAGACTGAAGTCTCTGCACAAGTGGCTTATTTGTTCTCTGGTTTTCTCGCTGAGCTGTTTCTTATTTCACTGTTTATGCACTAAATGCTAATCTGCTTCATAGTACTGCGCCTGGAATGCATGACAGAAGCAGTGTGCAAAGCTGAATAATGGATCGAAGAAATGAAAACAGTGTTCTGTTGACCTTGTCCATTTGGTTTTATTGTCTGTGTCTTGTCGTTGAAGGAGCCGCTAGTTCCTGTTAGCGATAGGCCAGTAGTTGAGCCCATCCTGCCCCAGCTGTCTCCGGGTGTTTCCACTGTCAAGATGGAGGCAGCCTACCCAGGTGTCTGCTTCACTACACTCTAAACTTTGTGCTGTGTCAGGCAGTTTAGGATATCTCACACACAGCTAGTCGAGCTCAGAGCACTCTGTCTGACTCAACTGTCCTCAGGTCCAGTTGTGCTGAAATTGTAGAATGCTAACAATAGCACACATTTTAGCCAACGTGTAGTAAAATGCTAACTGAAGTATGAAGAGAAGCAGTCGAGACTGCTGAGGGTTCAGATGATTAGTCTGAAATCCTAAAAGATCCCCTGTACTGTGGCTTACACTGGCATTTTGAAGCTACTCATTATTATGTTCCTTTATTTATGTGTTATTCCTATTTGCAGACATATATTTGTTTTGATCTTTTCCAGCTAAACGTATGCTTTTGGAATAGTGGAGCTCCTTTACTGGTGGAGCTGCCATATTTTTAAAATCTGAAATATTGGAAAAAGATAGGTTTAATGTATATAGATCATAGATTATTATTTATATAATACAGTATATAGGTTTACCTAATCATCACGGATGTAAAAAAAAAAACAGTACTACACTTTTCAAACAAGAAAAATCCAACATGTCTGTCATCAATTGGCAAACTGGACCGAGAGAAACAAGGGAGATTCATTAAGAATGCATACAGGGAAGTTTGAGATGTGTGTGGGAAGCTGCTTCAGGATAAGCAGTGAAAAAGCACAATAACAAAGTAATAACTACCTACAAAGTAATATGTTTGAAGGTGATTTCAACTTGTATTTATTATAATATTAGAATGCAGTTATACCATGCAGAATATTCAGCGCCGCCCTTCGGCATGGTAGTGAAGTATTCTGGTTCTCATTCCTTTGAAGGAGTCTGGTCATTCTCTTTTGATGTCATTATCATCACATTTTGTTCTAAAAACTGCTGCTGATGGAACAGGACAGCAGAAACACATCTCCTGTTGAAGACTGAAAACTCATCTGCTGAGACTGCACCTTGGCCTAATTTTTTGAGTAGAAAAAGTACCATGTTTGATGGAAAACACATGTTGACTTAATTTAAAATAACTGTGTTTTTTGATTTGGTAGAGGTTGTTGAGAGGAGCTCTCCGCCCGCCCCAGTGGAGATCCTCCCGTCTAACGCCGGACAGGGCATCGCTCCCACACAGTCCGCTGGTGAGACTTCTCTTTTTTTCTTTTGCTGTGGTATATTCTGCTCTGTTTTTAGAGTTTTATTCTGAGGTAAGTAACAGGTGATAACTGAGCCACCCTCTTAAAAAGGTATATATCAAATGAGCTATACTTGGAGGTTGTACACACACATATCTGAACCACTCGTGTCCTTGGTGTGTCCCGAGTCTCACTGAGTTCCTGACAGGTCACTGGCTAAAAAGGTGTTATAAGAATAATTGACACACAGATTCGTCTGTCTCCTCTGCTGCAGGACTCTGATATATTTAGCAATATGACCACATCTAAAGACAAAACTCCATCATTCATTCTGTGATAGTGTTACAGTTAGCAAATGTTGGTGTACCAAGAGCCTCGTTCAAATGACAGAAGTTGTTGGTAGCCATATTTCTTCCTTTCCAAATAAGCTACGGTAGTTGTTCTCTACCGTCTCTTCTTTATTCTTTAGGGTTCATTTGAAAGGTCCCCTATTATACTGTTTTTCATCAGTAAATTACAGGTCTCAGATATATACAAAAGATGTCTCTGAAGTGATTGGCTCGAAATACCAAACAGATCATTGTAGCATCCCATAATCCCCTCTGTTTCATCCCTGTTTCAAAAGTGCTGATTCTATGTCTGTTACTTTAGATGAAAATAAGGAGCCCCTCCCCACGCCCCTCTGAGAGATATTTGGTTAAAAAGAACACAATGGTGCTCTAGGAGGAGATTCGGGTGATCAGGTGGGT